AATCACCTGGGAATCTTTTTAAAATCCTGATTTCGGGGCCTCATCCTCCGGAAATTCTGATTCTTTGTTACTAATGTTGTGGCCTCACCCCATAACAAAAAAATAGAATTTTTGTATGTTCTCTTTGGAGAAGTGTCTATTTAGGTCCTTTGTCCATTTTTAAATTGGGTTGTTTGTCTTACTTTTGTTAAGTTGTATGAGTTCCTTATATATTTTGGATATTAATCCTATATCAAATGTATCATTGCCAAATATGTTCTCTCATACAGTGGGCTCTCTTTTCGTTTTGTTGATGGTTTCTTTTGCTGTGCAGAAGCTTTTTATTTTGATGTAGTTCCATTTGTTTATTTTCTCCTTAGTTTCCTTAGCCTTAGGAGATGTATCTGTAAACATATTGCTATGAGAGATGTCTGAGATTTTGCTGCCAACGGTTTCTTCTAGGATTTTGATGGTTTCACAGCTTACATTTAAGTCTTTTATCCATTTTGAGTTTATTATTGTGTATGGTGTAAGTTGGTGGTCTAGTTTCATTTTTTTTTGCATGTATCTGTCCAATTTTCCCAACACCATTTATTGAGGAGACTGTTTTGACTCCATTGTATCCTCTTGTCTCCTTTGTCAAATATTAATTGAGCGTAATGGCTTGGGTCTATTTCTGGGTCCTCTGTTCTGTTCCATTGATCTATATGTCTGTTCTTGTGCCAGTACCAGGCTGTTTTGATTACAGTGGCTTTGTAGTATAACTTGAAATCTGGTATTGGATTCCTCCAACTTTGTTTTTTTTCTTCTCAAATTTGCTGCAGCTATTCGGGGTCTTTTTTGATCTAAAAATAATTTATGGAGTATTTGCCCTAGCTCTGTGAAATATGCCATTGGTATTTTAATAGGGATTGCATTAAATCTGTAGATTGCCTTGGGTAATATGGACATTTTAATGATGTAGATTCTACCAATCCATGAACACAGTATATTCTTCCACTTATTTATAGCTTCTTCTGTCTCTTTTTTCAATGTCCTATAGTTTTCCGAGTACAGGTCTTTTGCCTCTTTGGTTAAGTTTATTCCTAAGTATCTTAATTTTTTTGTTGCAATGGTAAGTGCAATTGTTTGTTTAGTTTCTCTTTCTGAGAATTCATTATTGGTGTATAAAAGAGCCATTATTTTTTGTTTAAATGTACTTTTCTGAGAAGAGTTTTTGGCTTACACTTACATATATTTAAAATTTTGTCATTATAGCAGGGCTACTGAATATTGTATAATATCTCTTTTGTGGTTTGTATATTTGTGTAAAGTGTCATAAATTACCTTATGTAAAATTTGAGTTTTCTTCTTGATACTCTGCAGATTCCTGAAATAAATGGTGTTTTCCTTTATAGTCAAAAATCCAGTTTTGACTAGAAAGTTAAAGTCCTCCATGCAACACTAAATGGATTTTTGCTTTTCGAGTCAGCTGGAATTTGCTTGTAAAGATAGTAACTATCATTGCTTTTCAGCACCGTTTAAATTCAAAATTGTAGAAGGATGAGGAGGGTTGGAATTTTTGATTGGTAAAATAAAGAATCCTGGTATCTGGATCTTCTGAATAACTAACTTCTTGTACTCTGTAGGAGGGGGCAATGGCTTTGCAGTTATTAAATAGTTGAATCCTAGGTTATATAATTAGAAATGCAGTTACTGGGAAATTAAATGAGGTAATATATAAAATGCCTATTGTCTTAGTCTGCTTGGTCTGTCATAACAAAATACTATAGACTGGGTGGCTTAAAGAACAGAAATTTATTTTCTCACAGTTCTGTAGGCTGAAAGGCAGATCAGGATACCAGGATGGTCAGGTTCAGGTGAGGGCTTTTCTGACCTGTAGACGGCCACCTTCTCACTGTGTCCTCACCTGGGAGACAGGCAGAGGGAGAGGGAGAGGAGAGGGAGAAAAAGAGAGCACTGGTGTCTCTTCCTAAAGGGCACTGATTCCACCATGAGGTTCTCACCCTCATGACTTCATCTAAACCCAGTTATCTCCCAAAGGCTATCTCCAAATACTATCACAATTGGGAATTAGGGTTTCAGTCCATAGCACCTACCACTAGTGGTCAGTAGATCACAATTCCTATTTCCATTCCTCATCCTCATACCCTCCTAACTTCCTTTCCTCTTATTCTCCATGCTTTCTTGTAACTTCTTACAGTCCATGGGCAGTGACAGTCATTCTGTTCTTCAGGAAGCTACAACCAGTTATTGAATTAGTCTAGTCTTTCCTCACTAAAGTTATTTCATATCTGTCATGTATAACATTTTTTAAAAATATGTTTTATTGATTTTCTACAGAGAGGAAGGGAGAGGGATAGAGAGTTAGAAACATCGATGAAAGAGAAACACCAGCAGCCGCCTCCTGCATGCACACTGGGGATGTGCCCGCAACCAAGGTACATGCCCTTGACCGGAATCGAACCTGGGACCCTTGAGTCCACAAGCTGACGCTCTATCCACTGAGCCAAACCGGTTCTGGCATGTATAACATTTTTTATACACTGCTCTTTTGATCACTCGATCTTTGTTTAGCTTTACCTATGACAATATTATACTCTCTTATTTATTACTAGAGGCCCGGTGCACGAAATTCATGTACTTGGGGGGGGGTGTCCCTCAGCCCAGCCTGCGCCCTCTCGCAGTCCAGGAGCCCTTGGGGGATGTCCAACTGCCCTAGAGGCAGGAGAGGCTCCTGCAACCGCCACTGCACTTGCCAGCTGTGAGCCCGGCTTCAGGATGAGCACGCTCCCTCTGTGAGAGTGCACTGACCACCAGGGGGCAGATCCTGCATTGAGCATCTGCCCCCTAGTGGCCAGTGAACATCATAGCAACCAGTCATTCCCCTGTTTGGTCGATTTGCATATTAGCCTTTTATTATATAGGACTAGAGGCCCGGTCGTGCACCAGTGGGGTCCCTCAGTCTGACCTGTGGGGATTGGGCTGAAACCAGCTATCCGACATATCCCGAGGGATCCTGGATTGTGCAGGTGACACACCCTGGAATTGGGCTCCCTCCTCTCTGGTTCCAGGTGCGTCACCCAAGGGCAGCTACCAAGTCACCGCAGCTCAGCAGCTCCTGTGTTGAGCGTCTGCCCCCTGATGGTCAGTGCATGTCATAGCTACTGGTCAGAGCGTCTGCTCCCTGGTGGTCATTGTGCGTCATACTACCAGTCGGACGGTCGAATGGTAGGATGGTTGCTTAGGCTTTTATATATATAGATAATATAATTTATGTTTTATTTTTATTTTTAAATATATTTCTGTAGATTTCAGAGAGGAAGGGAGAGGAAGGGAGAGAGAGATACATCGGCTTCCTCCTGCA